TGGAGTCCGCTGTCTTAACCGTGGCTTGTGTACTGCAAACATATTCATCACTGTGTCTGTCAGGAGACTGTTCCCCTTTCGGGGCTCTGTCTTTACATTTATTTTGAAAGATGAAGCTCGTGATTATGGTAAGGGGCGTTACATTTCTGACGAGTGCTTGCAGTGTTCGGCCAATCACAATGCACTGGGTCAGCTGGCCAATCAGAGCAGACTGCGCTTGTCGGAAGGAGGGACTTTGTAGAAAACGAAGCGTTTGAGAGAGGCGGGGCATAGAGGACCTACAATAATGTACAGTATTTGAAAAATAATGTGTTTTTTGAACATTAAAGCATGTCAACATATTATGTTACACCAAATACACAAAATAATGATCTTTAAAAAAGCATCATATGACCCCTTTAAATGCAGATCTCCCGCGGGCCCTTAAAAACGTGAGTTGTATCAAAAAGTGAGTTGTATCAAACTTAAGGCCATAAAAAGTTTTAAATAGGTTAAATGGTATAAGAAATGTCTTAATTATAATTTCAAGAGGTCTTACAGTTGGGGACGGAAAGACAAGAGTCGCGATACGCTGGATTAAACTTCAAAAGGCAGTCATGTCATTGAATAAATATGAGCGCTACATGTTTCAAGTTAAAACGCGTGGATGTCTTTATTTGAATGTATCTGAGGGAACCGACTGTCCTCAGAAACGTGTTGTTGAGCTCGGAGCTGCTTTGTGTACAGCCGTTACCGGGGAAACCGCAAGCTCCTAAAGCGCCACCTCGTGGCAGAGAATGAATGTGCATTTCCAACAAGCCTATCTTGCTGTTTATGGTCAGATCAAAGCAAATATCAACTCATGTTTTTACGCAGCAAACACATAGTGTTGTAAATGAGAAAGAAGTTAATGTGCCTTCTAAAAATCTAAACAATTAAGAGAGTAATATTTATACGTTTAAATTGACAATTTAGATGCTTGATTTATCCTTTTTCATAAAAATGGTCTAAAGGCTGAAATGCTGTTGTATAAGATTTTTGTTTTTGTGAAAACCTGTATCTGAACTGTAAGGCCGGTTATTGTTACATTATTACATTTTCCAAATCACCATGTAATTATTTAAAACATCAGTTAATTTATTTGAATATTTTTATTTATTTATTATTTAGTTAGTTTAATATTATATATATATAAGTACCTACAATTTAATTTATAATAGGTATGCAAATTAACATATCAGGTGCGGGTTTTTTTTTTTTTTGTATGCATTTTAATTCACAAATGTCCCCAACAAGTTACAACCGAGATTAGCTTTTTATCAACATGGTAGACTCCAAAAAAGGGTATTTTAATAAACCTGGCAACCCCGTGTAGTAGCCCACTGCTCTGCATTCTGCTATGAAGTGGAGAACTCTGACGTGCTGAACGCTGAACTCCCCCTACTGCATCGGATGCCACACTGCATTAAAACCCCCCACATTTTCTTGAATGTGTTCGGAACGATATTTATTTTGCACTTATTTGTGCAACATTAAATGTATAGTTCACTCAAAGAAAATTCTGGCAACATTCAGGTCATTGTTCCTGTTGTATTCAATGGAAGAAAGAACGTCTTTGTTTGGAGCAACATATGGGTGAGTAAATTATTTATATATCATTCTTGGGTAAACTAGCACTTTAACCATTTAAACTCTGAAACTTTGTAATAGTCTGCTTTTTTACATTATATGTAAGATTAATAAACACGGACACAAAGACATTTTCTGGCATGATTATATATTATCCAACAAAATGTAAATACAAAGCTGATCATATATAATACAATTTAGATGTGTTTTAAAACAAAAAGCTGCTTGAGCGAATAAAAAGAAACAATTTAGTATGAAACAAGCAATTCAGAAAAAAATTTAGGCATGTGTAATGTGTTTTAATGACACATTAAAAACAAGCAATTCAGAAAAAAAATCCACATTAGGCATACAAAAAAAAGTCAAAATGCATTCACTAAAAATTGTAAACAAGAAGAGCAACACGGGAAAGCCTCAGAAGTGGTTAATAAACAATACAAGTGCTTCACCATTACGAAATATACAAATAGCAGCATTTGAAGCATAATTTAAAGCATAACGTTAAATACAGCATTCGGTTAGGAGTGCAAAGAGGAATTGTCTTGATTCTGAACATCCTGAGACAGCAATCAAACCGGATTAGGGGTAACTACGGTCTCTCTAAACGGTGGAAAATCAGAAAGAACTCAAGTGTAGTTACAAAAACTAAACCCTCATTTTAGGCATGTGTAATGTGTTTTAATGACACATTAAAAACAAGCAATTCAGAAAAAAATCCACATTAGGCATACAAAAAAAAGTCAAAATGCATTCACTAAAAATTGTAAACAAGAAGAGCAACACGGGAAAGCCTCAGAAGTGGTTAATAAACAATACAAGTGCTTCACCATTACGAAATATACAAATAGCAGCATTTGAAGCATAATTTAAAGCATAACGTTAAATACAGCATTCGGTTAGGATGTCTTGATTGTCTTGATTCTGAACATCCTGAGACAGCAATCAAACCGGATTAGGGGTAACTACGGTCTCTCTAAACGGTGGAAAATCAGAAAGAACTCAAGTGTAGTTACAAAAACTAAACCCTCACACTGCAGGCAACACGGAGCATTTTGGATTTCTGGCACCGGTGATGCATCAAGCTTATAGACTTTTAAAAAGACATAGAAAAAGCTGTGGAAAAAAACATATGCATTCTTATGGAAACGTAATGAGATCGAGAGATTCCCAGATTTAAACAGCATACTGCTTTGGTTGGCTCTTGAGGCTGACGGTTCGTTCATTTAGTGAGATCACGTGGGCTGCTCGACTGTTCAGCAGCCTGCATTCATGAAGAACATCTGTTGAGTTTATTACCAAAAAGATATTAAATTAGGGCTTTGAAAATGTGACTGCTGATGTGTTTAAACAATGGTTTAGATCAGTGTTTCTCAACCCTGGTCCTGAGCGCGCCCCAACACTGCACATTTTGTATGTCTCCCTTATCTGACACCCATTTCAGGTCCTGGAGTTTCTTTTAATGAGCTAATGAGTTGAATCAGGTGTGTTTGATTAGGGAGACACACAAAATGTGCAGTGCTGGGGGGCGCCCAGGACCAGGGTTGAGAAACACTGGTTTAGATGAATGAAGATGATTAGTCCATACCACTGAATTGTTTATAGGCTTCATCAACTATGGCATTGTTTGATATCTTTATCTCCCAAAAACCATCATCCACCCAAGATTTGTTGTCTGGCAACTCAGACAGTTGGCCATTTTTATACATGCCTGCTATAAATAAATAACAAAAAACAGAGAAATATTAATGAGTAGAAAGTTAAAAACAACTGCATTTATTTGAAATAAAATATTTTGTAACAATGCATCAATCAATGTACATACTGTACATTGATCAATGTAATGCATCCTTGCTGAATAAAATAAATAATTAACAAAAAAATTACTAACCCCTAATCTGTTGAATGGAAGTGTATTTTTAGGGCTGTCAAAGTTAACGCACTAAATAAATCAAACATGTTTGATGCAAAAAAAAATGTAATCATTACAGATTTTTTAGCATTAAGTGTGATATTATCATACGGTATTATACACAAAATTGCATGGTATAATATAATACACCCAGATTTAAACAGCATACTGCTTTGGTTGGCTCTTGAGGCTGACGGTTCGTTCATTTAGTGAGATCACGTGGGCTGCTCGACTGTTCAGCAGCCTGCATTCATGAAGAACATCTGTTGAGTTTATTACCAAAAAGATATTAAATTAGGGCTTTGAAAATGTGACTGCTGATGTGTTTAAACAATGGTTTAGATCAGTGTTTCTCAACCCTGGTCCTGAGCGCGCCCCAACACTGCACATTTTGTATGTCTCCCTTATCTGACACCCATTTCAGGTCCTGGAGTTTCTTTTAATGAGCTAATGAGTTGAATCAGGTGTGTTTGATTAGGGAGACACACAAAATGTGCAGTGCTGGGGGGCGCCCAGGACCAGGGTTGAGAAACACTGGTTTAGATGAATGAAGATGATTAGTCCATACCACTGAATTGTTTATAGGCTTCATCAACTATGGCATTGTTTGATATCTTTATCTCCCAAAAACCATCATCCACCCAAGATTTGTTGTCTGGCAACTCAGACAGTTGGCCATTTTTATACATGCCTGCTATAAATAAATAACAAAAAACAGAGAAATATTAATGAGTAGAAAGTTAAAAACAACTGCATTTATTTGAAATAAAATATTTTGTAACAATGCATCAATCAATGTACATACTGTACATTGATCAATGTAATGCATCCTTGCTGAATAAAATAAATAATTAACAAAAAAATTACTAACCCCTAATCTGTTGAATGGAAGTGTATTTTTAGGGCTGTCAAAGTTAACGCACTAAATAAATCAAACATGTTTGATGCAAAAAAAAATGTAATCATTACAGATTTTTTAGCATTAAGTGTGATATTATCATACGGTATTATACACAAAATTGCATGGTATAATATAATACACAAGTGCATTGAGTTTTTCTCTTAAAATCTATTAAATAACAGGATTACAATTCCAGCAAGTACCTTTAATGGCATCATCAATATCTTTGCATAGTTGGTATAAGTCACTTCCACGTCCCACCACCCTTTCACCTGAAATGACACATTAAAAGAGAATTTGATAACTTGATGAGAAAATGCACAACTGTATGTGAAAAAAACATGCGTTTAGCAAAATACAATTAAAAACTCACCATCCAACACTTTCATGTTTGGGAAAATTTCAAGAATAAGAGTCCGGTATAATGAATTCTTGCAGACTATAGCAAAATAGATTAGTAAGAATGAAGGACCAGATTAAGAGCTCCAAAAACATTTAATCAAATAAAGCCAGAAAACTGCTTACCTGGATTGGTGTAATTATAGGTGTTGTCCTTCAATCTGATGCTCTCCAGCTTCTTTAAAGACTTGAGTGCATGAAGATTATCAACACTGTAGGAGCAATGCAATTATAGAAAGGTGGATGGCAGATAAATATGAGAAGCTACAAAAAAACAGCTTACCTTGGTATCACATTACCAGCAACATTCAAACTCTGTAAACTTTCACAGCTGGAAAGGGGTTCTGAAAAGAAACATGTTCAACTCCAAAAGTCAGATATAATAGCACCGATATTATATATATATATATATGGATACAGTTTTTGTTTTATCTAGCTCTATTTACTCAGTGCAACTTATAACATCCAAGGGAAATATATAACTCCAACATGTCAGGAAAAAAATAATTAAACCAGAATCACTGAGTTGGAAAAGGATCACCCCTTGTGTCAGAATTTAGTTGAACCACCTTTTGCTTTAATTACAGCCTTTAGTGTGTTGGGCTATATCTCTGTCTCCACTAACTTTGCACATCTTGACTTTGCAATATTTACTCACTCTTCTTTGCAGAACTGCTCAAGTTCAGTTCAATTTGATGGTGAGTGTTTGAGGACTGCAGTCTTCAAGTCATTCCACAAATCTTCGATGGGGTTTAAGTCTGGGCTCTGATGGGGCCATGCAAGGACATTCAGCTTTTTCTCCTTCAACCACTATGTGCTCAGTTTTGATGTGTGCTTTGGGTCATTGTCATGTTGGAAGGTAAACCTTCTTTCCATTGACAACTTTCTGGCAGAGGGCAGCAGATTTTCCTCAAGAATTTGATGGTATTTTGCCCCATCCATTTTTCCTTCTATCCTGAGAAGTGCTCCAGTCCCTGCTGCAGAGAAACTCCCCCAAATAATAACAGGACATTCCCACCTCTGTGCTTTACTGGAGGAATGCTGTTATTTGGATGGTGAGCTGTATTGGATTTCCGCCAGACATATCGTTTGGTGTTGAGGCCAAATAATTCAATTTTAGTCTCATGTGCCTCAGAATCTTCAAGGTGTGTTTTGGCAAAGCTCAGTCGTGACTGCATGTAGTTTTTTCTTGAGGAGTGGCTTTTTTCTTACAACCCTCCCATACGAGCCCAATTTGTGGAGCATTTGTGATATTGTTGTCAGATGCACACAATGCACAACCACTCTTTGTCATAAATTCTTGCAGCTGCTTCAGAGTTACTGTAGGCGTCTTGGTCGCCTCTCTTTCATCCAGTTTGGAGTGATGTCCTGATCATGGAGGGTCTGTGTTGTACCAAATACCTTCCACTTCTAAATAATAGACTTCACTGTGCTTCTAGATAAAGCCTTTGAAAAGATTTTTTTGTATCCATCTCCTGACTTGTGCCTGTCCACAACTTTATCCCGGAGATCTTCTGACAACCATAGTTTATTTTTTGCTTCAGTTGCACAATTAACAAGGACTGAAATGCTCCAGAAAAGCTCTTTTCATGCTGAGCAAATCAAAATGACCACAGCTGATCACAGTTTAATGTCAAATGGCTTTGTGTGCCACTGAGAAGGTGATTAGCTAAACCTGATACAAGTCAATTTTAGGAGGGGGTGATCATTTTCCAAATCAGTGATTGTTTTATTTTGTATTTATTTTTGCTGACATGTTGGTGTTATATCTTTCACTTGGATGTTATAGGTTGCACTGAGTAAATACAGCTGGATAAAACAAAAACTGTGTCTGTCCTCATTTCATGCTTCAAAGCAACACAATGTGATTATTTTAAAGGGGGGTGATTCTTTTCTATAGGCACTGTATATGTATAATCACATTAAAGGAATAGTTCATGTAAAAATGAATATTTACTGACCCTCAGGTCATCCAAGACAGATTAGGTGAAATTTAGCATCACATCACTTGCTCACCAATGGATCCTCTGCAGTGAATGGGTGCCGTCAGATTGAGAGTCCAAACAGCCGATAAAAACATCACAATAATCCACAACTAATCCACACGACTCCAGTCCATCAATTGACATCTTGTGAAGTGAAACGTTGCGAAAAGAAATAATGTCAAATTTCCCCAAATCTGTTCTGATGAAGAAACAAACTCATCTACATCTTGGATGGCCTGAGAGTGTGGAAATGTTCAGAAATTTTATTTGAGAAAACTATTACATTAAGATTTAGGTAATAACATTACCTAAATTAGAGATTCTATTGGCTGACAAGTTAAGAACAAGAAGTCTTCGTAGAGATGAAAGAGGCCCCAGATTTGTGATGTTATTTCCAGATAGGTCCAGCCTCTCCAGGTTTATACACTCTCCTATACATCCAAGGTCATAAATTCCTGCAAAAAACACATGCAAGATTGTGTTTTTGTGTATTTTGACAATGTATTCTGCAGACACTAAATTCGGTATCGTCTTACCTAAATTCCTTAGTTTCTGAAACATAATGGACTCCAAATCAAACTCCCCGGTGCGGGACTTCAGAAGCACAGTGGTGATCTTTGCACATTCTGTTTCTGGAATATGAGGAGAAAGTGTGTGATTACAATTTAAGCAGCAGTTTTTTGATTGAGTGAGTCTGTAGAGTATTAAAGTTCTTTCTGGTCTGTTCAGTATTTTCTGTGGGGAGATTATAAATGTGGTTCAAAGGTTCAAATGGTGATTACAGTATTAATCACGCTTTATGTGTCGCTTTTCTTGAATTTTCTTGGTTTAATTGAATGGCCAGCAAATATTCTTTTTTTATTCAAACATTTTTATCATTATATTATAACAACATCTTTGTGTCCTTCCATATTTGTTGTTTCTTCTTCTTTTTTTTTACTTTAATAAAGTAAAATAAATAAACTAATTAACTAAATAAATAAATTAACTAATTAATGCAGATTGTAACTTTGGGACCAATTTAAATTTATATTTAAAAATGTAATAATAACAGCAAATAATGTACATTTTTACTTTAGTGGGCTGATTTATTTTTTTTATGTAGAAGAAATTGTAAAAAAAAAAAAAAAAAAAATTCAGTTATAATTACTACAGACTAGTACTAATGCAAAAACCCTGCATTTTTTAAAATAAAAAAATCTAAATAATATTATTAAACAATATATACTTTATTTATAAATCATTTGTGAGAACCTTTGACAAACATTTTGTCCATAAAATATGTTAAAACATGCCAGTGATATTATTTTAAACTCTCAAAAACAATGCTTTATGGGGCAAGGTTAATATCGTTATAAAAAACTAAAACTGTTTAAAAAATGTTTTTGGTTGCTAATTGAAAAAAGCTGAAATAATACTTTTTAAAAAAGATGAAAAACTAACAAAAATAAGAAATGTTGCTCTGGCTACTAATTTAAAAGAAGTTAAAGCACTAAAATTACTAACTAAAAAGAAATTAAAACTAAAACTGAAATGAAATAATAATTATAATAAAAAATAATTAAACCTAAATAGTAAAATTTAAAAAAAATTTACTAAAGCAAATAACAAAATGACTAAAAATGAACTAATATTGAAATTAAATGAAAACTAAACATAAAAAATAAAAGCCAATTCAAAATATTAATAGAAACTACAATAGTATACATATAATAATAATAAAACAACAACACTGTTATGGGATTGGTTTCTTATAATCTGCTCTTCTAAAAAGGTGCAGAATTACACAAAAAACAACAATCTTACCACCTAACTCAATTACCTTGGATAATACAAATCTTTTCAAAAATGGCAACACGCACAGCCCCCACTTGAAGGAGTTTTGCAAACTAAATTAAAATAGCTGAGATTACGTGGATACACTAAAAGTTATCGCAGACAACAGTTGGTTTAATCAACGGAACCAAAGCGTGTGTTTAATGAACCAAAGTACGGAGCAACAAGCGATAGTTATGCCCTAAAAAGGAGACCGTTTTACCGATATAATAATCTATCTATCTATCTATCTATCATCTATCTATCCATCTATCCATCTATCTATCTATTTATCTCTCGCTCTCTCTCTCTCTCTTCTTAAATTATCTTACAAATGATCTTAAATGTTCTTTATATTGCTCTTTAGAGTGGAAAAAAGTTAGCATTTATCTTAACATTTATATTTTAGAAGTTGTATTTGTTTAAAATTTTTAGTGTTTATGAGTAATTACCGCAAAAATAATTTAAATAATAATGCTAGGCTATTATAAAAAATTAAATAGTATATTAAAATGAAATAGTCTATCCTGTTTTCAATGTGTTCAATGCTGCCCCCTGGCGCTGTGAAGTGTTAAAATCTGTTCTAGAATCGTTTTCATTGACAATTCAGTCAGTGAGAGCGAACAGCGACAGGACGAGTATGTGTGCGAGTATATGAGCGACAAACAAGTGTAACGTTTCTTGAGCTGTTAAAGTATTTATGGAGAGTGTCGCCTTTACCACCAACAGGCATAGGCTACTTCTGGAACGACTGAAATTTCATGCTGCCTCCCAATTTTCTCGGCTGGCCAACCCGTGGACATAAATGCCTAGAACAGAGAAGACCAATGTGATGCATCTGCACGATAGGAAAATAACTCGACTAAGATGGGTAATAAGCAAACGATATTTACTGATGAACAGCTAGATGCCTATCAGGTAAGAGACTCTCTAGTTCTCCGCGTTATTTACAGACGAAAATGAAGAAGCAACAAAATCAAGTTTTGGGTTAAAGAATGAACAGATGTGTGGTTTTTGACTTTCTTTCTTTCTTCATAGTCAAGGTGCATTCTTACAGAAAACTGCTTATATAGGCTACTGCTCTCTCTCTCTCTCTCTCTCTCTCTCTCTCTCTCTCTCTTTCTCTCTCTCTCTCTCTATATATATATTGCCTGCGGCATACAAGCGACTTTGTATATATTATTTGCTCGCTGTGTGAATCCTAAGGTCTGAGCACGGAGTCATATCTGAGGACACCTGATCATATGAGATGAGAACATGTGAGAAGGTCTTGCTTTTGTCTTCCGTAACAGCAGTCTGTCATGCTTTGGCGAAATATCATCTCAGTCTAAGGACCCAGTGAGACTTAAATATTAATACCAGTCTAAGCAGATACTCAGAAACCTCATTGTGATTAGTCAGCTGTTGTACTTTCTGATAGCTTCCTTCTAGCTTTATAATCCTGTTTTAATATATATATATATATATATGGGAATAGATACAGTATGTGATGTGAATGGTTTATTGAGTCAGATATTAATGAAATTTGAATAGTAGGCTTCTGAGTTTCCCACTTGCCAGTCAACAAAGTGCATTATGAAGATCAATGACTGTTAGCAACAATGGCCGCCGCTCCTTGTGCTCTTTAATCACTGGGTTGTACTACCTGGATCAGTGGAGCTTGGCCATTTGGCTGGTGGACTCATTCCTTACAGCAGCCAAGTCTTATCAACTCATTCATCGTGCTGTAAAACAGAATCAGGCTATTGGGGCAGAATCAGGCACGTGCACAGGTAGGGCTCAACCTGTGCAGAGCACATGCCCTTTTTGTCCTTACACTCCGAAGTGCCCTTTTTTTATTCTTCAATAAATCAATGCTATTGGTCACCCTTTACGTCTGTCGGTCTGTTTTACAAATATATTTAGCGAATGAAAGGTATTAAAAAGAGTCTGTGACTCAATCTTGTTGGATCCGCTCAAACTGTCAGTCAAAGCTCATAACTCCACCCCCTGTCTTGACTGACTGAGTGCAGTGAACTGAAGTTCAGCAGATCAGCTGAACGTCTTGCAAGGGTAAATAAATATCTTCTTGTTTGTATAAGTACAGCGTTGTCTTTACACAAGGAACACTAGTATGTCTAAGGCTCATGTTTTATGCATTTGAGGTCTGAGACCGGACCTGCGGAGAGAGGGCATTTGCCATCTAAATTAGTCATAGCCAATAGCCTACACTTAAATAGCCTGTGCATACAGTAGCATTTCATCTTTTATAAAATGACATTTTGGCCAAACGTATTTTACAACAGGAAAAACTGAGTGCCCATATAGCTACAACAAACTTTGTAACCTGTTGATCAAAACGTAATGTGATGCTGCCGTTTTAATGATGGACAAGTTGCACATTTGCACACACATTCGCTGGTCAAAAGCCCGGCCATAACTGCATTTGAGTTTGACACAAAGCGACTGAGTGTTCCTCGTCGGCTAGGTAAAATATATTTCTAAGAAAATTCCTCTTTGATTTATGATGGCTATCTGCTGATTCACTTAATTTATTAACATTTAATCATATTAT